ACTTTTGCGCGCTACCTGTCTCACTCTTTTCCGGCCTCCAGCTTTTCCTGCTGGAACCCGCCGCTTAAAGGTGGGGGTCCGCGGACCGGCCATAGAGCCCATAGAGTTAAAGGTGTTGGCCGTTAGCTGTAAAAATCCATAGATTAGCCGCACCGTTATATAAACCGCAGCGTCGAAAAATAGGGAAAAAGGCGCGGCTTATAGTCCGAAAGCTGTAAAAATCCATAGATTAGCCGCACCGTTATATAAACCGCAGCGTCGAAAATGTATACAAATCAAAATGTGTCGTCGGGTCAATGCGACTGATTTCGATAGAGCAGGTCACATATACTAAGGCTGCACAATTAACCAACATTGTATTGTTGGGCTGCCGACAAATAGACTTAACAAAACATATGTTTGGTACAGATTCTCTTAAAAAATGAAACCATGTCGATTTTGATATGTTTTTCAATGATAATGAGATTAATGTGGCAATTAAAAAAGAAAGATTCAGTGTAGAAATGGCAATGAAATTATTCTGACTTGAGCTCCTCCAACAATGCAACATATATAAAAAAAAAAATAGTGCAAAAAATCTATATACATGTAAATAGAATATGATATGTGCAAAAACAGGATATGGAATTAAATAATGTACATTAAGACAAAAAGGATATATCCTACTCGCAATATCAGTCAATAAAATCACAATTACTTATTTTTTCCAAATTGTCCAGCCCTAATATATATACATTAATGTGTACTATAACAGCAAACAATAGGAAATACAATGAACTCCAATTTAAACAATGGTTTGTGTTTGTTTCTCAGCTGATCGCAGAAGAGAACCAGGTGCGTCTGGAGCTTCAGATGACGTTGGACAGCAAAGACAGCGACATCGAGCAGCTCCGGTGTCAGATCACTTCCCTCAGCATTCACTCTCTGGACACCACCAGCATCAGCAGTGGCAACGACCTGGACATGGTTGACGGATACCCAGGTAGACAAAGGACACTTCACGCTCATCCTTCTTTCATTTGGCCAAGTCAAATTCTCAAAGCCTGCATGCACTTCCTTCCTTCCTCTTCCTGCAGTCTCTCTTCCTGAGTTCTCACTGTTTCCTTTGTTTTCACTTTGAGTCTCTTCCAGGCCCAATTGTTTTCTGACCTTTTCCTCTTTATGCTTTTTCCTTGTTCCCCGTCCTCACTTCACCTCAAATTCTCCCTTCCTGGTCCGGCACAGTGCGCATTTCTCACTCACAAACCTCAGAATCAATGTCCTTCACCTACCAGCGCACACACAAATCTGTCTGCATCGACACCCGGCCAAACCTTCGCTCTGCTCAAAATCTCTTCGACTCTGACTCTGACTCTGAGGATGAAGAAGAATATGGCAGGAGGGCGGAGCAGGGCCCCCGTCCCCTGGCCCTCACCTACGAACAGCCCCCTGAGGCTGAACCTGAAGGTGACGCTGCATGGCAGTTCAAACCTGGGATGGGGATGCAATAACACTTTTTAAATTGACCTAATATCATTATTTATACATTAACATGTCCATGTTTTCAAATTGGACGTTAATAAAGATTTAAATTGAGAAATAAATACTGCACCCTCAACCCTGGTTCAACCTTGCAAATGTTCTGCTAATCCCTTTACTCTTTTGACTTGTCACTGTCTCTGCTGTGCTTTAATCCTTTTGAATGCTCACTGCCCACGTAAATACTCACAGCGTGATGCTGGTCCGCTTTGGTCTAATGTATTCCTCTGAAAAAAAGGGAAGTTGGTGAAGTGTGTTGAGTTTTTCCTAGAAAAGTCAAAAAAACACCTGCCATGTTGTGTGCTGGAGAATTCGTTTTTTTAATTAGAGATTTTATATTCCTTGGAGCTTTCTGCTACTTGCCCTTACGTTTTAGCGAGGAATCATTCCTTCTTTAAGTGATGAGGAAGGAAATGCCACCATTTCAAAATGTCAAGGTGGTTTTTTTTTTTTCAAGTGGTTCACATGATTAAAGGCTGTTCTCTTTGTGTTAACATCTTCCTGTTTTGTTCTCCTCGAACTAGACTCCAGGTTGCAGGGCTGGATTTCCCTTCCTACCAAGAACACAAAGCGTTTTGGCTGGGACAAAAAAGTAACGTATCCTCGACCACTATATCTCATACCTACAGATTTGTTTTCCTAGTTATCACCATTTCCATTAGAGCAATTTCCCTGTCTAACCTTTTGACCCTTGTTTCCTTTTCCTTCAAAGTATGTAGTTGTGAGCAGTAAGAAGATCCTGTTCTACAACAGCGAGCTGGACCGAGAGCAGGCTAATCCTTTCATGACCCTGGACATCGAGTGAGTCATATAAAGCATGGTTTGAACATGTAATACTAGAATACTTGATGCTGCTACACATGTATGTATTCCTATTGATTACACGTATTATCCTGGGTCCATATCAAGTGAATCTCTCTTCCTCCTATAGAAAACTTTTTCACGTCCGACCTGTCACTCATACGGATGTGTACCGTGCGGATGCCAAAGAAATTCCAATGATATTCCAGGTGAAAAGCTCCGACATACCCGTCTCTTTCTTTTCCCTCTGTTCAGACTCAATATAAATCCGTTTTTCTCAATTCAACTTTCTCCTTTCCTTTCTTTCCCCAGATCCTGTATGCCAATGAAGGCGAGATTAAACGTGATCAGGAGGTGGCAGTGGATCCGGGGACGTTTGTGGATCGCCCCACCTTCATCCCTCACAAGGGCCATGAGTTCATCCTCACTCTCTACCACTTCCCGTCCAGCTGTGAGGTCTGCACCCGGCCCCTTTGGAATGTTTTTAAACCCCCGCCGGCCCTCGAGTGCCGTCGCTGCCACACCAAGTGCCACAAAGATCACCTGGACAAGAAGGAGGAAGTTATTGTGCCTTGCAAGGGTCAGTATACTCAATCATATAGAAGCGTTTCTCCAACATTAAAGGGGACCTATCATGCAAAATGCACAGTGATGTTTTTTATACATAAATGTGTCCCCGGTGCGTCGGGGAACTCACGCAGCGTCAGAAAATAAAACCCTCTCTCTTTTCCTCGGTACCCAAATCTTTTAAAAACGGGTGGTACAACGAGCGGATATAGATTTGCTGCCGATCTGACGTCAAATCGGCAGCGGACCCACAGAGAGTTGCTATCAGAAACAGTGCCTGATGTGTTTTGGACATAATCTCGTCTTTGTTTACATTAGCAAGCCTCGCTAACACTCAGAGCTAACCTGTACTGTAGAGCACATGTGTTTAAAAAGCAGGAAATAAAAAAGAACTCACCTTGTGATAAACCCGCAAGAGAAAAGGCATTTGAGCTCCATACTGTTTCAGAAATAATCCTTAATTTATCTCCGGTAGAATTCTGATCAGGCATTAGCTCCGCCTCCTCTTCTTCTTTTTTTTCAAGCTAAGGACCCAAGATCCANGGATTTGCGTAAAAAACTATTTTTTCGGGGTTCGGTGTTTTGTTTGATTTTAAACAAACAAAGTCTTGGCTTTCAGAATATGAAACTTTTATTTCCAAAGTTTGGAAATAAAAGTTTCATATTCTGAAAGCCAAGACTTTGTTTGTTTAAAATCAAACAAAACACCGAACCCCGAAAAAATAGTTTTTTACGCAAATCCACGTTTATTTTGAAATGAGCCGTTGCGACTTCCAACTGATTTCGATAGAGCGGGTCACATATATTCATGCGATTTGTCGGTGTGCTGGAGTGTAGCTTCTGCATACTGACCGCCTGCATATCCGTCATCTCTCTCTGGTACTTGATGACGGTGCTGTTGAGCTTCTCCTTCTCCGTCCTCAGCTCCTGCTGCAGCTTCC